AGATGCCATCAGACAGGTAATTCCCAAGGTAGAAAGCTCCCAGAGCCCACATCCCGACAACCTGCAACTTCTAGTTGATCTTGCTAACTGCCAAGTTCTTCATAGCTTTAGGTCCTGCGTCCTTCCTTTTCTCCCACCCACAACCCAGGAGAAAATTGTCTACCTGGAAAACAAACCCACAGGTACAGTTACCTCTTTGGACAAACGAAGTCCCACCCCTTTGATTGGAAACAGCACCAATGGAAGCATTTTTTGTCCAATGCAAATTGGAGCTGTGGGCAGGATCTCAGTCTAGGTGGGACCTCAGGGAGAAAGAAGATCCATTCTCTCGATACACAATGAACAGGATGGTGGTGATGAGGACGAGAAAAGGCATTAACCTTGCTACTCACCTCACCTGCCATCTCAGTGTATGTTGGAGGGAAGGCAAATGCTGGATGAATGGATGGGATTCCATTCATGCATGTGTGACCTGAGTCTACCACCTTCACCCAATTTATGATCTATCCCACTCATGCCTTCTTTCAAGGGTTTCATGCAGACCACGACCTCCCCATTACAAATAATGTTATCTTCTCCTATTTCCCACAACTGGTTGTCCTTTTGTTTGGGAGTGGAATAGTCCTGCTCTTCTGAGGCCAGTCAACTGAGAATGAAGGGAACTGGAATCACATCTGTCAGAGAACCTTTTGACTGGAGAAGCTTGCTTTGGAGTATAAGCAGGTTCTCCTACTTTGAGGGTTGTTTTTTAAACATTTATGGGGCTGTATGTTTCAAAAAAAGTCTTTTTGAGAAAGGAACAGGCCTAATAAGTTGACTCAAAGCCTTTGAGAAAACCTGAAATTGTACTCCAAGGTTCTTCAAGGTTCTTCCAGCCAGTTTTTCTTATTGCGGAAGTTCTCAGCTAACATGGCTAACAGCTAGGAATTCTGGGTGATGTTGCTTCAACACATCCAGAGGATACCAGGTTGGAGAAAGCTATGATAAAGGCTCAGCAAAGGGAAACTGAACAGTCACAATCTGCATTTATGATTCCTACTCCCTGGCAGCTATGTATCTAGCTCTGTACACATGAGAAGGAACAAAGACATCCATTGTACTGCACAATTATGTAGTAGCCTTGTTTGTCCTTTGTAAACAGGTCTTACTTTCCATTAAGCAAAATTAACTGAGTTTGTTTAAAACAGCTACTGTATAAAAGCTAAAGTATATGAAGAACGGTTGCAGGAATTGATTATGTCTAGTTTAATGAAAAGAAGGACTAGGGGTGACATAATAGCAGTGTTCCAATGTCTAAGGGGCTGCCACAAAGAAGGGGGGGGGGTCAAGCTATTCTCCAAAGCACCTGAAGGCAGGACAAGAAGCAAAGGATGGAAACTAATCAAGGAGAGAAGCAACCTAGAACTAAGAATAAATTTCAGGACAGTTACAATAATTAATCAGTGGAACGACTTGCCTCAGGAAATTTTGGATGCTCTGACACTGGGGATTTTTAAGAAGAGATTGGGCAGAGATTTAACTGAAATGGTACAGGATTTCCTGCTTGAGCAGGAGTTGGACTAGACTAGAAGACCTCCAAGGTCCCTTTCTGTTTTTCTGTTATATATATTACTTGTAGTCTTTAATCTCCTTTATTTTAGTATACAATTCTTTTTCCAATTAACTCCTGTTCCCATTCTTTCTGATTCTTTCTTGCCATATAAAGTCCTTCCATTCACTAATTTAGAATTGCATTTAACTATTTTTGCATCTGCATCTTCTTTCTCTTTCTCTCCCCCCCCCAAACTTGGTATGCTTGAAACATACTTGAAAGGAAACCCACAGCTTAGCATGAACTTTTACTGTGTAAAAATACCCCTGATTCCATTGTCCAATCTCTCTGCGCGTAAAGATTTGCTCTCCTTAAACCTGCTACACTTTTTGAGTAGATGGAAAAAGGAAAATAAACCAATTAAGAGACAAAAAGATAGAGATATCGGGAAAGAAGAGAAAAAAAATACCCCCCCCCCAATTTTACATTTTAAAAACATGATCAAACCACATTGCCAGCTTCAGAGAGCTGAGGATTGAACTAACGATCTGTGTGAGTGTATTGGCTCCCAAAATGCATTGAATTACACTCACATTGAAATGCAAATGAAATTATTTTTTTCCCCTTGTGTAGCAGGAGGAGAAAGGATGAGTCAAAGAAGAGGAAGGAAAGAAATGGAAGAAAAATTAAGTAGAATATCCACAGGAAAAATCCTTCAGAGAGGGAGGTCAGTTCCAGCTTGTTTTCAGCCTTTTTTTCTATTGGGTTTTTTTCTTCTTTTTTTCAGCCTTTTCTATTAAAAGGGGCTGTCACAGAGAAGAAGGGATCAACCTATTTTTCCAAAGTACTTGAGGGCAGGACAAGAAGTAACGGATGGAAACTAATAAGGAGAGATGCGACCTAGAATTAAGGAGAAATTTCCTGACAATGAGAACAATTAGTCCAGGGGTAGGCAACCTTGGCTCTTTTATGACTCATGGACTTCAACTCCCAGAATTCCTGAGCCAGCCATGCTGAGGGGAAAGGGAGAGGTTTCCATGCTGAGCCATGCTGCCTCAGGAATTCTGGGAGTTGAAGTCCATGAGTCATAAAAGAGCCAAGGTTGCCTACCCCTGAATTAGTCAGTGGAAAGTCTTGCCTTCAGAAGTTGTGGGTGCTCCATTCCAGGAGGTTTTTAAGAAGAGATTGGACAACCATTTGTCTGGAATGGTATAGGGCCTCCTGCTTGAGCAGGGGGTTTGACTAGAAGACCTCCAGGGTCTCTTCCAACACTATTATTCTATGTTCTATAAAAGATAAAGATTCAAAGATCAACTCTTGGTGAAAACACAAGTGGTCCATCTAGTTTTCTTGACAAAAAGGGCTGGTTCTCCCCTCTAAAGGCTGGGTCCCTTTATATTGTGCTTGGCACTCAGGCAATTGCAAGGCAACCTACTTCAGAAAGAGCTTGTCCTTCTGGTGCATGAAACTCAGGAGGGTTAGTTAAAAATTACCCACCCCATGTGGGCTATGATATCAAAGGAGCGGCGCTGGAGATGTAGTTTCTACAAATCAGTCTCCTGCCCTCATCATCATCCTGCACCTCTTGTCCCAGAGAACATCTAAGAACTGTTTCAATTCATGTAGGAAGTACAGTAGCATGCTCTGACATCAGTTCTGGATTTTTGCTTGTTTTTTTTATTTTAACAAATGCTTTTATGGATTTTACATGTTGCTAATTGCCCTGAATCAGTTGGAGTAGCAGTCTATAAGGATGACTGATGAATGGATGGATGGATGGATGGGAGTGGCTTGCCTTTGTCATCTTCTGGGAGGCTTTTGCAACTTTCCAGTTGAGTTTATATCCTGGATTTCCTAGTAGTCTACCATCAAAGTACTAGTAGAGCCCATGCTGCTTTAGCTTCCCCTTGGTCTGCCAAGATTGGTTAGATGCAGTTACCTGTGTTGGAAAGTAGCTTTCTATCTATGCCACCCTTCTAACTGTGTAATATTTTTTTCTTTTTCTATCACTTTCCTAACCCCATTCTGTCTTCTGCCACTGCATGCCTTCCCCGTCAATCCAAATGGCTTGCTGGTGGAATCTGTCCTGTAAAAGTGAAGGAGGCAGTACGGACAGCTCGGTTTGACACCTGAGGAGAAGAGGGTCCATATGGCAGAGAGACCGTATGAAATGGAGAAACCCACCTGATTTCTTTATTCCATTCTTGGATCCCCAAGCAAAATGCAAAGGTTTTCAAGAAATAATTTCACAGAAAAGGACGAAGGATGGTTTGAGAGGTATTTGAATGGATAATAGTAGGATACGAAGGAAGGTCCAAGCCTGAAGAAGACAGTCCTCAAAGTTAGTTCTGACCAGGAGATGGAAGCACACAATTAAACCTATCTTCCATTCACACAATGCAGCCAACTATCTAGACTGCTTTAATTAGGCAACAAAACAGGGTTTTGTTTTGTTTTGTTTTTGTTTAGCAAACATGTCATTTAAATAAATGCTTCATAAATTCTTTTTTATCATTAGCCCTTTTATTGTAAGATCATCAACATCATCACTCCCAGGAAGAAAATCTGGGAATAACAAGATAATGAGAATTGTGGAGGACACGGCACCAGAGCCGTTCTTAGAACCATCTGTATTCAGAAACTGAACTTCTGAAAGGAATCTGACCAGAGCTTCTTCCAACTTGGTGTCTTCCATGAATATAGGCCAGTGATGGCGAACTTTTTAGAGACCGAGCGCCCAAACTGCAAACCAAAAACCCACTTATTTATCGCAAAGTGCAACACAGCAATTTAATCTGAATACTGAGGTTTTAGTTTAGAAAAAACAATTCATACACTAACATCTTTTGTTTTAAAAGAAAAACACAATAACAAGACTTTCAATGATACAAACAACTTTTTACTGATAAGTAAAAGTTTGCATTTGGCATGCTTTTGAACAATTAATGTGATTTTTGCTGTTGTATGCCTGCTGATAATTTGTCTAAGCTTGGCTTATACTTTGTAAGTTTGAGAGCAACACATGCAGCACTCAAGTCATCTGTTAGTCTGTTTCTGGTGTCAGATTTGATATAATTCAAAGCTTAAAACAGTGTGCTCGCTCCAGAGGCTTATTTTGGCTAGGAAGGAGCTTAAGAAAAGGCTTTTTCCTGTGAAAACTTAGCCAACTTAGCACGCGTGCCCACAGAGAGGGCTCCAAGTGCCCCCCTCTGGTACGCGTGCTATAGGTTCACCACCACTGATATAGGCCTACAATTCTGAGAATCCATAGAGTCCACACTGGCTGAGGGTTATGGATATAGCTGCTGCTGATTACTCACAGTTGTTGGCCCACACTAGCTGGGAATCCTGGGAGTTGTAGTTCCAACACATCCAGAAGTTAGTTGAACTTGAGAAGTGTGAATTTGAGAGGCAGAAGGCCTGGGGATTTTTTGATGCTGAAGGACAATCCAGAAATCCAATTCAAGACTCAGTTCTCCTTTAGGGAAAATTTTGGAGACTCTACTGAGATGGCAATCAAGGTTTGGGCAAGGTAGTAAGTGCTCATGTACAGGATGTGGGTAAGAGGATGGGAGGTGCAGAATTTGTCATAGCCAACCAGCAGATCAGACACAATGAAGATCAAGCTGCCCGCTGAAGCCAGCCTTTTGGAGCAAGACAGTCCGCGCCAGGTCATGACGCCGAGGAGGCCTGAGTAAAACAGCACTGCCCATGTGTAGAAACCTGACAAACAGGGCAGCAGGATCACCACGTAACTCACAGCCACGAGTCCCTCGATGACCAGGAAGGTGAGAGGTTGAAGGGGAGCCAGGCCAAAGGCTGTGATGTAGCAGATGTGGCATATGGCAAAGGCACCCATTCCTGTAAGGGGAGAAAAGGCGAGTGAATAAAAACAGCCACATGGGTTGCATTGCTCCCTCAAGATCAGCCACCGCCAGTTCAGCCATTCTGGCAGCCTCCTCTGGCTTGTTACTTCAGATGCACAGGATTATTCTGTAATTGCAGCTTGCTAAGCCAAGAAAAGGCACTCTGAATATGACCTACTAAATTACTTCATTCAGTCTTGGACTATTGTCTAACTTCTGTCCCCAATTTGATGCTTAAGTGCTCTTTTCAACTGGGAAAGAAAAGATACAGGCACAGCAGGGCTAAAAGGTAGCTATGTTTATTCCGGATAAATATTTAATGCCTTACTCCCTAATGCATGCTCCAAAAAGGAAGAACATGATTCAGGCTGCCTGTTTCTTGAAAACTGTATTATTGTGTTTTGGGGTCTCACTTTCTCCTTTCCCCTTTAACTGAAAACTCCCCGACAAAATGTCTCCTCGTCTTTCATTTGCATTTATTTTTTGACCAACAGACATATTGCCAAAGCTGCCCAATCCTCAATTTATCTTGTCAATATTTTAGTGGTGGGGGCTGGCCAGGGGGCACATTTCCCAAAAACTAGATTGCAGACCAGCTGCCATATTTATTTCTAAGACTGTTCAGAGATATTCTTGGAAATAAAGATGATATTTTAGGTGGATGAATGCTTTGAACAGTACCGATAGACTTCGACTTATGATCATCCATTTAACAACTGTTAATGGCACTGAAAAAAGTGGCTTACAACAAGGCCTTGCACTTACAACCAGTACTTACACTTACAACCATCATAGCATACCTGCAGTCATAAGATAAGATAAGATAACTTTTACTGTCATTTTTTTACTGTGGGCACAATGGCACCCATCAAAAATGAAATTTAGTTGCCCACTCTCAAAGTGAAACACATATATGACACACACCTAACCATACTATATACAACGTTTGTATAGACCCACACCCCTACATATACATAACAAATAAATATTAAATACTGTCCATCTTGAATATATAACGGAAGGAGGAAGCTTGAGAGTTCACAAGGTTAATGCTGTATGGAATGAAACTCTGGCTGAATCTGGATGTTCTGCTACGGATACCACGAAGCCTCCTCCCAGAAGGTAACAAGGAAAACAGGTCGTGAAGAGGATGTGTAGTGTCCCAGATAATCTTACGGACCCTGCTCAAGCAACGCTTCTGTGCTATGTCCTGGATGGGAGGGAGGGAGCTGCCAATGATCTTTTCGGCCATTCTGATGCTTCCAAACCAGACTGTGATGCTGTATGACAGGATGCTCTTGATCGTTCCCCTGTAGAAAGTGGTCAGGACAGGGGAAGGAAGATGTGCTTTTCTCATGCGATTACGATTCTGGGGATTTGCAACTGGCATGTATTTGTGACAGTTGCAGCATCCCAGGGCCACCTGATCACCATTTGTGATACTCCCAAGGGGCTTCTATCAAGCAAAATCAAGGGGAAATCTGGATATGCTTAAGGACTAGAGTCATTTGCTTAGCAATGATAGTACAAAAATTGTAAAATCAGGTGCAACTGAATGACTGCCTTGCTTAGTGATGGAAGTTCACAGCTGTAGTCATAAGCTGAGGAATACCTCTATCCATTTAACATCAGAAGTAGCAGAGGGTTTAGTGGTAACCAGGAGAGGTATCTATGACACCAGGTTGAAACCCATAAACTGCCTTTTACAGATAAAAGTGTTCATCAGAAAGTACCCTTGATGTCCCCCTCAATCTATTAATATAACAAACTCCCCCAACGAGCTACTATTGAAAGTTTACTACAGAACCTTCCCTTCCATGCATTAGTTACCTATTCATTTCTAAAGGTAAAGCAGACTAGTTTTACCACACTTTTAATTTTAAGAGATGCCATTTATACACATTATTTGTTTCAATGCTATGTTCATAATTTTATTTTATTTTTAAAACTTGGATAGGTGAACATTTCTTGTTTTATCTTAATCTACAGATTGGGATTTCTCAAGGTTTAAGGCAGGTTGAATTCCCCTGCTTGTTTGGGCAAGAATGAGAACAATCTTTCCCAATCTGGTACCTTCCAGCTGTGCCAGATCCCAGGGCCCATAATTGTCAGCCCAAAGACAATCAAGCCTCAAACTGCGACACCTGGAGTGGATGTGCTATTAACATTGTCTTTCTATTTACATGATTGTAAGGAACAACTAGTTCAGGGGTCTTCAAACTTGACCCTTTTATGACTTGTGGACTTCAATTCCCAGAATTCCTCAGCCAGCAAAGCTGAACTAGGAGATATACAACTCTTCAAACCAGTTCTGTGCATTGTCCTCCTCCATATTTCCTCCCAGATGTTTTATTATTTATTTTTGGAAAATTTATATAGCTGCCTACTCGCTCACGACAACTCTATCTTGCAATAAATATACCTTTAGATTTTTATTTCTTCTCATGGCGCTTGTGTTATGCATTTAGCTGGCTCCCTCATGTGGTGGGAAGTGGTATTAGACATGACAAAGCAAATTACAGGTACGGTAGTTCTTGACTTACAACCACAACCGAGCCCAAAATTTCCACTGCTAAACAAGGCAGCTGTTAATTTTGCCCCATTTTACAACCTTGCTCACCACAGTTGTTAAGTAAATCCCAGCAGGTGTTAAGTTAGTACCACGGTTGTTAAGTGAATCTGGCTTCCCCATTGACTTTGCTTGTCAGGAGATTGCAAAATGGTGATCACATGACCCCGGGACACTGCAGCCATCATAAATATGCGTCGGTTGCCAAGCGACTGAACTTTGATCACGTGACCATGGGGATGCTGCAATGGTCATGTGAAAAACGGTCATAAGTCACTTTTCTCAGTGCCGCTGTAACTTCAAACAATCAGTAAACGAATGGTTGTAAGTCAAAGACTACCTGTATTGGCTTTTCTGCTTCTCAGGTGGTGGCATGATGCTTTGTTTTTATGCCATGTCTTCCCAATCTTGCTCTCATTTCATCCCTAGCCCACTTCTGAGCTATTTGCAGCCATATTTAGCCATATTTAGCTTTCTGGTTTTAAAGTGGTATTTCTCATCTTCTTCCCACACAGTTGTTGCTCTGGAAATTGTCTAGGCACGCTTCTCTAAGGATGTTGTTAAAGATGTGTTCAACAGTTGGAATTTGCCCAGCTCCTATTTAACCCTTCAGGCTCCTTCAGGTATGCTCCTGCCCCTGCGCACTGCCCTCCATGGCCACGTTGGTTTAGCTTACAGGAGAGACCAGACATCTTAGCTTCCTCAGAGACAACTAACCCCATGAGGCCTGGCTGCCATGTCATTGTGGGCATCTTTAAAATCCTTGTTTAGAAGACTCAGCGTGCTAAAATCTGTGTTTAGAAATCAGCATTTGAGCTTTTGAGAGAGCACTGGCCCTGTGCTGCATGGAAAATCACTTCAAGCTGGAAAAGAAATGTGCATTCTGCTATTTCAGGATTTCTGTCCCCAGCGAGTGCATTAGATTTCCCCCCCCCCTCTTCAGTCAGGACCGTCACTGAGCCACACTAGTCCTTTGGTTCTTTTCATCACTTTGTGTGTGTGTGTGTGTGTGTGGTACTGTTGTGTCTAAGCACAGCTACTTGCAGGTTCTGCCACAGTACAGACAGACACTGATAGCCCTGTATTTGTGGGCAATAGTTAATGATGATGCTCACTGTTCACTGATTGTTTCCTCCTCCAGGTCTATGACCTGCTAATCAGGCTTCTTTAGGACCTGTGTTTAATGTGCTTTGAGAAAAGCACTCAAGCCATGTTCAGAAATGGCCCAATGGACAGGTAATGAGGTGGAACATCTCCCCACCTGCAACCTGTTACTTGGTAGTTAAGTTGGCTAAGCATTCAGATAAATTCACCTAGCCCTACTTCGTCCCACAGAGTGATAGGTAGTAGTTTTTCCTTTGAGCAGGGAAGTGAAACCAGAGAAATCCCACAATTCCTTCGCTTAACTTGTCCTGCATTAAAACAGTACCATTTGCTGTCCTAATTACCAAGATAAAATTGGCAATGAAGGCAGCATAATTTATTAGTAGATTTTTATCCTGCCCTTGTAATATATAACTCAAGGCAGCAATCATACCTACTATTCCTTCCTCCTGTTTTTCCCACCATAACTCTTGAGAGGGGTTGGGTTGAGTAAGTAGTGACTGGCCCAAAGTCCCCCAGCCAGCTGGCTTTCATGCCTAAGATAGGACTAGAATTCTCAGAATCCTGGCTTCTTGGCCAGCACCTTAACCACTAGACTAAATTGACTCTCTTTATGTCAGTATATTTTTTTCTGCCAGATCATGGATTGGAGAAAAGCACTTTATTGTGTGTCTGGCTGTTGCCTCAGTAGATCCAGGCTTTGAGGCTGAACAGTTATGCTCTGGGTTTTCTTTGTCAACAACGATAACATATTATGTACAAGCACCCACATAGACACATCTAAAATAAACACCAGCATCAATCAGCATACAGGAATTATGGTTCTCCATATGTTACTGAATTGCAGTTCCCAACAATCAATATGGACTATGGGGAAAGGTGCTGGAATCTGTAGGTCAGCAATAGTGTAGCTACAGGACCATGGATGTCCATCTCTGAGGGAGATTGTTCAAACAACAGGTAGGATGAAAAATAGCAGACAATAATCACTAGCGAGTAATAGATAGGATAACAATAGGTGAACAAAATACCAAATCCAGCCTAAACATCTGGCTCATGAACTATATTGCAATATTACAAGTGTGCTTAGTTTTCATCTACAACTGTTGGGAGATAAGGAATCGTACCCATGCAAAATAATGGCCCTTTCAATTTGGTGATTAAGCTACTGAAATCATTGAAACCATTCCCAAATTCTAGCCTAGATGTTTCCCCAACAGTGTCATAAACCTTCAAACACCATACCTGGAAGGAAGAATTCTGGCCATACCAAACAGGCATCTCCCACACATGCAAACAAGAGACCATGGAAAATCCACCGGGAATACGGTTTGAAGACACCTCCGTTTTTGGGCTGACTGGTCACAAAGAACGCCAGGGAGAACGTGGGGAGGCATTTTAGGATAGTGCTCTGTAAACTGGACCCAGGGAGCGAAAGAACGAAATAGACGGCGCTGGAGACAAAAAATGGCAGGAGCCTAAGCAGCATACTTCTCCTCTAAAACAGGACAAGGAGGAAGAGGGAGAAAGAAGAAAAAAGAAATGTAAATATATATATATATATACTGTTGCATTCTCAGTTTGCTTCCCTGGAATTAGGAGTGTCTGCAGCGCATGGTTAAAAAAGCATCAACAGGGCAGCTACAGCAGTGCAATCAGAGCTTCACCTGTTTGTAATGCATATTGCAACACACATCCAAGTGGCTGGCACTTTGATCGTACCGTCCTGCTGCCATCTTGACTCTTATCTATCATTCCTTGCGGACAAGAAAGAGATCAAAACTAAGCAATGCCAAATTGATACTCCAAGACTGGGATTTTTGTGAGTGGAGGGTTCAGTCCCACATGGAATATTGTGGACATCATTATATTTCATAATGCTTTATGAAGATTGTTCTCATTATTACTTAACAATCTTATTCATTATTCCCTCTCTTCTCTTTTTCTCTTCCACTATGTTTTTCCACAGCTGGAATCTCTGCCAGCTGTGTGGAATCTCAACATGCCTTGCCCTAAATTATGCCACGCCCATTATTCTGGGTGTTCATAAATTTTAAAGAAAAATCATAGGAATGGGCCAGTTCTACTGGTTCATCTGCTTACTAGCATTTGGAAGCTTCTACTGAGACATGCTGATAAGCAAGCAGAAAGGACAACTCATTCATTGTATGATGAATATGCTACCATTACATATAATGTTATTTATCTTATTCAGGCTTACAATTGAGATAATTATAGGATTTGTACCCATTATTGCTGTTTTTAGAATCATTTGGATAACTAGTAAAATTAAATGTAAGTTTTAATTAGTGTAGGCTGCTAGATGAACAAAAATTAACACCGTGAGAAAAAAACATTGCATTAATCACACTAATTAAGTTAATCCAAAATAAAAACATTCACATTAGACTAACTTTCCAAAACGAATTCCATCTTGAGTGCCATTACAGAGAAAGCCTTGTCAATTGTAGCTACGTAATTTGCTTCTTAGTAAGGAAGCATCTAGGAAAAGGACGATAATTTTATCTGATGACCTAAGTTTATTTATTTAATTATACTTCATATTTCTTAACCTCCCATCTTCCTTGGATAGAATTCTGATCATCACCATTCAGAAGGAAAAGTTAGTTCTGTGTCGGTAAATATTCCTAAACAAATGAAGACAAATATATGTGTTCCAGGATAATGTTGCAGGATCCAGTCTGGGTTGATGGACCCAAATTGGATCCTGCAATATTTCTAAACTTTACCAATTACCCAAATAATTCTAAATAAATTTCTAGCTTAGTACATCAGGAGAAGGTTGTGGACGGAATCCATATGGGCGTCAGTAAAGCTTTTGAAAGAGTACCTCATGACATTCTCCTTAATAGAATTTTAAAATATAGTCAGATGATACCACTGTTAGATGGGACTCACAGTTAATTGGATGTCCACAGCCAAAGGATGTTCCTTAATGGCTCCACTTCAACTGGAGGGTAGTGTTGGGCAGAGTTTATGTCCAACATTTTTATCAATGACTTGAATGAGGGAATTCAGGGGACATTTTCCATTGTAGCTGATATTTTGCTAAATAAGCTAGAAACTCTAAGAAGGAGATAAGGGTTAGTCTGCACAGTTTGTTTCTGAAAATGGTGGCTCCTGTTAATTGTAGCATGCCTCCTCAAGTGCTCATAAACATGCCACTTTGACCATCCCTTTGAGAACCTCACTTTGTCTACTGTAGTCTTCAAGCTACAGGGCTGTGGTTTTCCCCTTTTTGAAGGAGATAACCCTTGACCTTCCCAAATCTTCTGGGACCTCATCAATCCTTCAGAAACTCTCAAAGATTACCAAAATGATTCTGTGATGAGCTCCATTAGTTGCTTCTGAGATGTAATCCATCTGGCCCAGGAGACTTAAATTAACTAAATTCTTACCCCCTTCTTGTAAGTCAGACGTGTCAAACACAAGGCCCAGGGGCCAGATGCGGCCCGCGAAGTAGTTTCATGTGGCCCGCGAAGCCATCCTGGAAACAGTGAGGGAACGGCCCCCGCTGCCTTGGCCCTGGCCCAGGCCAGCTGAGAGCCAATGTACAATTTTGTGGTGGCCATTTATGCTGAAACGCATTCAGTCTTAGCTCCATAAGTGCCCCCCCATGGCCTGAGAGGAAGAGTGAGGCTCCTCCAGTGGACCATGCCTTGGCACTTCCCCTGGTCCCACCCCCTTCTGCCAGAGACCCTCAGATCTGTCCCACTCCTGCCCAGGCCCCCACAGGCACCCTTGACGCGAACGATGTAGAGCTGGCCACATCCACCCAGTAGGCCACACCCAACTCCATCCATGCCCACCCAGTAGGCCGCATTACCCTGGCCACACCCACCCGGCCCCCTGAGGGCAACCGCAATGCTGATGCGGCCCTCAATGAAATTGAGTTTGATATCCCTGTTGTAAGTCCTAAGCTGCAGTTCCTTTTATTCTTCCAGGGGCACACTGATAACTGGTTTGGGGGTTCCATTTATTTTCAGAGAAGTCCAACCTGAAAGAAGAAATTCTGCTTTCTCACCATCACCCTGATTCACCATTTTCTCCTTGGAAAGGAACAATAGGGAGTTTAATCTACTTTAAGTCATTGTTCTTACTATATTATTATAAAATTTTGTTTCTGTTTAAACTTGATTTAAGGAGTTTGAGTATGTATGTTGCTTGGAGACAATGATTGGGATGGTCTGTCTATCCCATGAAATAAATAAAATTCAAATCTTATATGAACAAGGGGCAGTTTAGTAGTTCTGCTCAAGCATCCCACCTGTGGAAAAGTTGGTTTGCACCCAGGTCAAATAGATGAAAACCCATACTAAAGTTAGTTGGGCAATCCTTAGAGATATGACACTGAACTTTGTAGAATTTCAGACAGAATTGCCAAGAAACAGTACAGATTGAACCTAGGACTTCTTGAACTTTTCCACACTCTTCATTTGAGCTATGATCCATTCAGAACAGAATTACAGAACTGGAAGAGACCTTAGAGGTCTTCTAGTCCAACTCCCTGCTCTTATACCATTCCAGACAAGTGGCTGTCTAGATCTTCTTATACCATTCCAGACAAGTGGCTGTCTAGTCTCTTCTTAAAAACCTCCAGTGATGGAGCACCCACAACTTCTGAAGGCAAGTTGTTCCACTGGTTAATTGTTCTCACTGTTAGGAAATTTCTTCTTAGTTCTAGGTTGCTTCTCTCCTTGATTAATTTCCATTCATTGTTTCTTGTCTTGCCTTAAGATGCTTTGGAAAATAAGTTGACATCTCCTGTTCTTTGTGGCAGCCCCTCAAATATTGGAACATTGCTACAGTGTTTCCCAAAAAATAAGACCGGGTCTTATATTAATTTTTGCTCCAAAAGGTGCATTAGGGCTTATTTTCCAGTTAGGTCTTATTTTCGGGGAAATATGATACTAAATGCGTCCACTTGGCTGACAATCTTAACTGGGGTTTATTTGGGGGGTTAGCGTCCTGAAAAAAATCATGCCATTTTTGGGCAAACACGATATTATGTCACTCCTAGTCCTTATTTTCACTGGACTAGACATATCCAATTCCTACAACTATTCTTCATATGTTTTAGTCTCCAGCACTTTAACCATCTTTGATGATTAGGGGGCTGGATCTGGAGTCACTGGGTATGAGTTGTGTGGCTATATAAATTTATTAAATTAAAAAATTAAATTAAAAAATTAAATTAAATTAAATTAAATTAAATTAAATTAAATTAAATTAAATTAAATTAAATTAAATTAAATTAAATTAAATTAAATTAAATTAAATTAAATTAAATTAAATTAATCTCTTCTTTGGGAAAATAGCTCTGAGATTCATACAAACGTCAACCTCCCTGCTTGGGCAGAACTGATAACCAGGTTATATATTAAAGAATGATGTTTATACTTAGATTATTCAGAGGCAATAATATTATGCCAGCACATGATATGGACACCCCACAGGCCCTGTTCAGTGTAGAATGCTAATTATTCATCCATTCATCCCAATATAATTCATTAATTCATTACATTGGATAGAGAAGGGCTTTTCAACCAGTGGTACGGGTACCACCTGTGGTACATTGGCACCTGACAGGTGGTACGCGACCATTCTAGAAAAGTGGTAGTGGGGGAGGGGAATGAGCTGAACCGGTGGCAGTGTTCTGTCCCAGCCTACGTCCGTCCTTGTTACGTCACAAGAACAAACCCCTCTTAAACAGTAGGCTGGGAAAACCAATCTCTTGTTATTTTCAAAACAGTCCTGATAAGTTTTTCTCCAAAACAAAAACACAGAATACTTTCCTAACAGATAATTGGTTACAAAAGCAAACAGAGCAGAAGTTTAAACAAGAAATTCACTGATAAAAAAAACAGACCATGATCCTTGGAAGTTCTTTACAAACGGTTGCCTTCAGCAACCAGCACCGCCCACACCTTCCCTTTTTATAAAGCAGTCCCAAGGTGTGGCTTCTCAATGCCTTCTCCTCCTCCCCTGGAATTGTCGTATTGACTGCTGCTGATCTGCTCTAGATAATTGCCTGCGTCTACGAGCATCAATCATGTCCCTCAGGTGTGAATCCTCCAAGTCTGACTCATTCTCCCCACACAGCTGAGCTTCATCTGGAACACGACTGGAGGGCCCAGGCTCTTCATCAAACTGTGAGTCTTGTAATTCATCAGAGCCTCCCACTGACCCTGATGGTCCTCCAAATGCCTCCTCCACCTCCTCCTCAGATTCCCTGGACTCAGCTGTTGGGAACACAGGCTGGCACGGAATCACAACAGGCAGCACTGCATAAGCCTGAGCGAGAGATGACTGGAGCTGCAGGGCTCTCAGGGCTCAGTGGACGCGCCAGGATCAGCGCTTCTTCGGGACTGTCAGGGCTCAGTGGAAGCGCCAGGATCGGCGCCAGGCTCCAGCTGGAGCTCAGCGCTGATCCTGGCACTTCTGCCGAGCACAGAAGAAGCGCCGATCAGCTGGAATATTGCAGCATCTCCAGGGTCTTGTGATTTACATTCAGATGCTTGGCAACTGATTCATATTTATGACGGTCACAGTGTCCCAGGGTCATGTGAAGTGACCAAAACCTGCTGCAACCACTCAGCAGACGGGGGGAATAAAAACCAAACACCCCCACCCCACCCCCGCTGCCAATCCTCAACAGAAATGCTCACAACAATGAAAACCTCTGACAGGAGGAACAGCGCCGCCGGGTGGGCAG